AAATCTCAATGGACTGCCCTGGAAAAAAAACAAACAGTAGATAGATACTGGATATTGACTTGAGAGATTTCATATAAGACCTAAGCTAGATCTAATATGCACAAGTGACACTGTGTTATGAGAGTACCATTAAATATATTGATTTTTTTCAGAGTCTGTTAAAACATGTCAACATGAAAACATTAGTTATAAAATTGCAGTGCCCATAATATTTTACAGAATACAGCATACAGGGGAATTCAAAACTATAAAAATCTGTTCCCAAATTTATATTGGATATTCTCAGATGCATCATTAACTTGAAATATATCATCAAATAATCTGTGTTAAAATGTATCTGCAGTTAACTTTACTACACATTCTATTATAAGACTGTGAAATACTGAAACTCTTTTGAGTGTGTCTATTATTTAAAAGGATAGCATTGCCTTTACAGTTTTACTTTGGAAACACGCTAGTGTGTCCGTATTTTCATTTCAAACGTGTATTCATGATATCACCCCATGAACTGGACCCTGGCAGCTAAGGAATTGATTTCCCAAGCATTACTAAACCAAAATCAACATAGAAGTCTGTGGGTCATATCACTAAACTAAACACTATATATTTAAATGTATGCATTTCAAGTTTCAGTAAGACAGGAATGTGCCTTTTACACCTTTGTGGTGGCCATCAAATTGTTTTTTTGACTCTCAAAGTTATTTATACAGAACTTGCACACATAAAACAAGTAAGTATTTATCTACTCTGGTATATGCATAAACAGAAAAGGCTGTGGGACCACAGCAGGGCCACCAATTACAAGTCAGCCACAACTTTTCTATGTGATTATTGGCTACAGTGAATCTGGAAAAAAAATATTGCTGTTGGATGTTAATGTCTTCATATGCTTTTAAACATCTCTGAGACTAGAAAGGCACTACAGAATCTTACAAATAAGCAACTTTTTTCCTAGTTGCACAGCATGTTTTTAGCAAAGAGAAACATATGTGGGAAACAAGCAAATACACCTTTCAAAATTAATTTGTGTCAGGAACGAAGCTGTCTCCAACTCTAATTCCAGTTTGGAAAGGATTTCAACACTTGGTGTTTCTCTTTGTCAATATATCTATAGGAGTTTCTGTTTTTTTGGCAGGAGAAAAATCTTGTGAAACCGTGCTGTAAGTTGCATCTTTTAATATACACTGTGTCTAGCTACATTTTTGCCCGGGAAGTACTCATACATGCCTAAACCATGAACTCTCTTGGTGAACTTAATGTCAAGGGTTTCTTTTTCAAAATCAAAATGGGTAAATTTCTAGTTTTGTTTCTATGAATTGGTATAATTTATTTTGGTATTTTACTTAGTACAACTAAAAAATCATTAATGCAAACTGTACATTGATAAGTCTATCAGGAGTTAGATATTTAGATGCAGATGATCTAGCTTTTCTTCTGGTCTCCTTCAACCATGGAAACTCTATAAATACATGCATAATTCAGTCATTATTTAGGTGAAAAATTAAGATACCAAATTACCATAATGTTGAGACACACCTGCATTGCTAAGAGTGATTTGGTTCATGCTGCTTTTAAGAAAGCTTTGCTCCTGAAATAAATTCTTGAGTTCAAATTTTGTCTCATTTTGAAGCTAAAGGCAAATGAACCCAGCACAACATGGAACTGGTTTCATTAATTGTAGTGCATATACGAAAGAGCAAACAGTGAGCCAGTATGTTTCCTACCATCCTATTCGCAAGAATTTCTGGTCACTTCACAAAATGGAAATTTCTCAATTTCACTTCACAAAATGGAAACTAGAATTTAATTCATTGTTTTCTGTTATAATCAGAAAAGTCTATTAAATATTTTACTGTCATTTTTGTAAAAACATTCTCTTTGGACAGAGAGCATATATGAACTTATCTTTCAAAATTGGGGTCACTACTTGTTACAATGTTTGCTTATTTCTCAATTTCACTTCACAAAATGGAAACTAGAATTTAATTCATTGTTTTCTGTTATAATCAGAAAAGTCTATTAAATATTTTACTGTCGTTTTTGTAAAAATATTCTCTTTGGACAGAGAGCAAATATGAACTTATCTTTCAAAATTGGGGTCACTACTTGTTACAATGTTTGCTTATTAATTTTAAATGCAAACTCCACAAATACGTAAGAATAATACCAATCAGTAAAGTATTTAAATAAGGTTAAAAATTAAAATGGGCTTTCTTTAATATATTATTCAGTAATGTTTACGATAACTTTCTGTAAACCTATTTTACTTAGTAGGACACACTGTGCCACACACTATTGGCAGCCCAACCAGGAAATAGCCCCCATTTCTTCTGTACTATTACTATGGCTGATTTTATCCAGGTATAAGGAAGATATGTGCTCAGGGGGGAAGTGAACTCTTTATCCTTGGTATAATTCATTCATGGTTAATTTATGAGCTTGTGTTAGTTATTGGTTCAGTGTGGACATGTGAATTCGTCTTGAATAATGAAACATGAAAGGACATTTGCCGGGAAATATTCTGGGGCTTTTTTTCCTCCTTCTTAAAGAAAATGAAATTTATAAGATGCTATAGAAGAAGCGAACTTGCTGCTTTTGGTCACAGTCTGGGAGTACAGCAGACTGAAGTTGCTGTCATTATCTTAATGATAATGAAAGCCAAGAGAATGATAGAGAAACCTTTTCGGAAGCTCTACATGTTTGAACTGACAAACTAACCAACCGCAGAAACACCTGCCCCTGAATTTCCAGTTATATTTAAGACACATTTAATTGGATATTTTGTTTCTTAGAGCAGACGATATCTAAAAGACCCGCATGCCGTAGACAGTTTAAGTAAGGGCACCCCACAGGAAAGTTTACATGTTACTATGCATTTTATAAGTGTTTAAAGAATATTTTTTTGAAAACAAGTTTAAGTCATGTATTTATTAGTGAGAAGGATTTATAAATATCTAACATTTGTTATTTTTGCTTACTCAAATCTATTTCCCTTTTTCTATGTACTATAACCTAATTAATTTTCTTTTAAGCCATTCTTTTCCTCCTCTCCGATCCTGAGGATCCTGCGGAGCTGACTCTGTTCTCCCATTCATAGAGTGATGACATTGATTGGTTCCGTGATATCCAGAGCATTAGACTCCAACTTGGAACCTTCACTTCTGGGATTCTTTGTTTGGCAGTATTTAAAACCAGAGCTGCTGGTAGCCATCTAGCCACCACGAAGGCTGAGAGTCTGTAGGAGAATCTGCACTGAGAAAAACATAGCTGCAGGAAAGAATGAGAAAGTTCCTGATGACATTATTTGACTCATTGGATCAGCACTGCCTGATGAAGAAATAGTCCCAAACTCTTCAGTTATAGGAGTTAATAAATTTACCCTGGGTTGAATATCTCTCACATACAACCAGCGAGTCCTACCTAACACACCCAGTAATCTATTTCAAGTAGGCTTCTTTCTTATAATTGACTATACAGGATGTATGGAATAATTGTAATTGTTTCAGTGGAATTACTATACTAAGATTATTTATTTATTTATTTATTTATTTATTTATTTTTTAAAGATTTTATTTATTTATTTGACAGAGAGACAGAGAGAGAGCACAAGTAGGCAGACAGGAAAGCAGAAGGAGAGGGAGAAGCAGGCTCCCTGCTGAGCATGGAGCCTGATGTGGGGCTCGATCCCAGGAGGCTGGGATCATAACATGAGCCTAAGGCAGCTGCTTAACCACCTGAGCCACCCAGGCTCCCCACTATACTAGGATTATTAAAATGGTATGTAATTATTAAAAATGATTCTGTAGGGTTTATATATTAAATTATTAATAGTAATCCTATGGTAGATATATTTTTTCTGCATGTATTATTTATTAATGTCTGTTAGTATGGAGTTTTCATGAACTGATACCTGTAAATAGCACAGGCTTATTCTTTGAAAAAAGTTAATTTGTTTTTGTTGAATTCACTATCCACTAATCCATCTGAATTCATTAAAATTTTTTTTGATTCTTCCATCTTTTTTCTTCTTTTGGACTTTTCCACACTATTCTTTATGTCTGAAGATTACTTGTCATGTTTTGTTTTTATCTCATTGTCTTTTAGCACTGTATAGTGGTTCATTTTTTTAAGTAATGGATGACTCTATTTATTAATGCACTAATTCTCTCTTAATTTGCTTTTAAACTGCTCTTTAAATCATTGACTTTCTCAGGTCTATTATCACATTTTCGTGTGCTAGAAGTTTAACATGAAGATTTTTAAATGAGTCTTATGATTTTTGATAGTCTTGTTCTTAAGTTTTCATAATTTTAATTGCTTTTTAATTTCATCTTCGCCTTCTTCAAACATACTAAATTTACTAAATTTATGTTTTACTTTAATTTCCAACATCTGTTGTTTTTGAGAGTTTGATTCTGTTGTTTGTTGTTTCTGCTAACGCTTTGTCGTGATGGCTTGCTTTCTCCCAGTGTGTTCCCATGTTGTTTAACTCTGAGTTCATCATCGCTGCGACTTTATCTGTGGGAATATTCTGACACTTGAGTTCAAGGGGATTGCTCCGAGCCTGTTTTGAACATGGTTCTATTAGTCATGTGAGACCTAATCTGAGAATACTTTGAACTATATTCTTAATTTAGGTTTATAAATCAACAGTTAGCATAAATCCTGGGACCCATCCCTGTGTGAGGGCTGGTTTGTGGTTAAAAATTCTCAGGGAAGACTTTTTATTCTGCTTCCCCAAAGCCTAGTCAATGTCTTTGGCAGACCATTTGATAGATATTCCTCACAGGAACACTTTGGATATAATCAATTAATTTATATGTAATAGTCTAGGAGAATTAACTTACCTGTTTAAATGGGGGATATTGCCAACGCTGAAGCCGACATTACAGAAACAATAGAGCACAGCTATAATATGGGGGCCAACTTCCACTTTCAGACCAAGTGACAGATAGTTTTCTCACAAAATTTCCTAGGTATTTAAAATGGATACCACTTACAGCTTTATCCGCAAAGGTCTCTTCATAAAACGCTAGCATCAAAGCAGACTGTACAACTGCATAGATCTTTAAAAGATGAGACACCGAGGATGAGAAGGGACATTCTTCCCCCGTGATCTAGGAAGACAAGGAAGACATCTTTTCTTTACGTTGCCCCATGGCCGATTGCCCTCACTGAAATTCACACTAAGCAGAGAGGAGATGGACACAAAGAAAAGAAAAGTTTTGCTACTCCTTTTTTTTAATTTTTTCCCCAAAATGAATCTAACATTCTCTTGTTTTTGGATAGAAAAACGTAAAAGTTCAGAAACTTGTTTTTCATTTCAGAAGCATCATGATTTTGATTTAGTCTGCTTTATAATAAACCAGTGTAAGAACTGAGTTAGCAGTATGTACTGATGATAAACAACCGAAATGAACGTTAAAATATGAAATATGAAAATAGGAATATGTATGTCCATGATTATACATGAAAGTAAAGAAAAAGAAAAAATGGAAGGTTATTTTACTAATGGAGATAATCATGCCTCAGAGGGAAATATCGCTTTATTGGCAACAACTTTCCTAAACTATAGAGTTTCCCAGAAATACTATAATTCTACTTTTATAATGCAAATTTAGGCACAAATATTACTTTAGAATATTCGCTTTGGATTATCTATTGGAAAAATAGAAGAAATAATAAATGGACCATAGTTAACTAAATTTTCTGAGCTGAAATAAGGGAATTATTTTCATCTAATCAGGTTAGCTCATTGTTACAAGACTGATTATGAACAACACTAAAAACATCTGGGAAATTTCAGCATAGCAACTTTCATAACTGGATAAGAAAATATTCTTATTTAGATCAAGATTTTTGAAAAATAACAATATTCAAATAAAAACTAATTTTATTTCCTTGTAATATGGGCTAATTTTGATATTCACAATGATCTTTGATATAAACAATAGTTTACTCTTTCTATTGCTTTTAGATTACTTAATGACAGTTATTATAAGGAATTACAATATATATCCTAAGGATTGGAAAGAAATTTCTTTTTATCATCTCTATAAGAATTCCAGATTAAAACTGAATTTTTCATTGGGTTTCCAGGATTTTAAATCTCCACTTCACTTACTTTTGGGTTTTAATGTGATTTCTGAATTTAATACTACTACTACTCTACTAGAGAATGGGTAAAGTTATGGTCTAATCTAATAACCACATCACCTTGGTGTGACTTTAGACCTTCCATTCTAGAGACTTCATTTCTTTTTTTAAATTCAGTATAGTTACATTAGTTTCAGGTATACAACTTAGTGATTTGACAAATTTATACCTTATGCTATGTTCATCACAAGTATAGTTGCCATCTATCCTGATATACCACTATTACAATATCCTTGACTATATTCTTTATGCTGTGACTTTTATTCCTGTGACATAACTAGAAGTTTGAATCTCCCAGGCCCCTTCATTCATTGGCTGTACCAATTTACATTCCCAGCAACAGCATATGGGGGATTCTTTTTCTCCACATCCTCACCAACACTTGTGATTTCTTGTCTTTTTTATTTTAGCCATTCTAACAGGTATAAGGTGATATCTCATTGTGGTTTAGATTTGCATTTTCCTGATGATTAGTGATGTTGACCGTCTTTACATTTTTTTCATTAATAAAATGAAGGCTACACTGAGTTATCTTTAAGGCTCCTTCCATCTCTACTGTTTTAGGATTCTGTGGCCAAGCGAATGTGTTTTTGCATTACATAAAGGCTCTTTGCTGTAGGTTTTAGTGTTTCTGCCCCCAAACCATGCTCCCCAGTAAGAGGCAGTGTCTGCCTGGGAGAAGGCACCATTCTTATTGGCCCCTAGGTAGTTTCTAGTCAGTAAGTTGTGCACCAAAGGGCAGTATCTACCTAAGAGAACATCTTTTTTAGATCTGCATGAAGTCAACATACATACAGGCTGACTGTAGACCTGGCAATATGATACTAATCTTCACCATCACCAACATGAACTCTATTTACCTCTGGGATTTCTTCACTCAGTCCAAGTCTTGGTTTACCTGGACCCCATCCTGGTCCTTTAAATATGACAGAAAACTTGTTGAAGAATCCAGGTGTGGCCCAGAATGTAGTCCATATGTAAACTAAATGGTGGAACTAGAAGAATAAAAATATAGCTTATTTAAAATAAGAAAAACACATAACAAAAATATGAAGTATAATTAATCATACATTTTATTATTCAATGCAATTTATATTTTTTTCTGTAATATACAGGTTATGTATCATTTGCTTAATATAGATTAACATGCAGTTGCATATTGTAATTCATTCTATTCATTCCGTGTCCCTTAAGTGTGTTCTTGTCAATATTTCTGAAGCTGCACAAAATTATAATTTTGAAATTTTAAAAAGAGGACAATTATTTAGAAAATCAGCAAAATAGAAAAAATGAGTTGAGTCTTTGCTTCCAATGGAATTAATTTAGCAGCTTGTGCACTCAACATCTGTGTCTAATGGCATTATTTCTAAAGTCTTGCTAAATGGATATTAATGTTGAACATGGAAACACATTACAGATTAAAAAACAGCCCTTTATTTACTGTACTGAGCTTTAGACAATCATGTCTACAATTGAGGAAAACTATTCAAAGCCATCTCTGAGTTTTATAGTAGGAATTCACATTCTGTAAATAACACTGTACATGTGACAGGTACAGAAGTTAAAAGTATGCTCACACATAAGAAGTACTCAGTAAATATTAGCTATTAGGGTAATTGGTTATTCCATACATGTGATAGTAATGCATCATAGGATTTAAAATAGTCCCAGAGCTATAGACTCTAATGCTGACTTCTATTATAAGTGAAGTAATAAATTAATGTAGAAAGAAGTTTTGGCTCTATGAGAATTTGTGGTCCTACTGGCATTTTCATTGTCTCTTAAAGAGTTTAAACTGCTAGGATTATAAAAATGGTTTTAAAATTTCTTGAAACATTACAATAAGGAATCTGAAGCAATTAATGAACAATGTAGGGTTTAGTGGAGGAGATTTTGAGGAAAAGGGAACTGTGAGATGGAAATTTACACTGGGTCTTAATAAAAAATAATAACAATACAAAATATAATGTGCTTAGGAGTTACAACACATATTAATATATGTATCTGTTCTGTTATTTTGAAAACTGACTTCATTTTATTTATTTTTAAATATTTATTTATTTATTTTAGAGAGAGAGCACGAGTGTGGGGAGGGCAAAGGGAGAGGGACAGAGAGAGAACTTCAAAAGGACTCCCTGAGGAGTGTGGAGCCCAATGCAGGGCTCGATCAGTCCCAGGACCCTGAGATCATGACGTGAGCCAAAACCAAGAGTCTGACACTCAACCGACCGAGCTACCCAGTTGCCCCTGACTGCATTTTATTGCTCTCATTCTAGATACAGGCCATGAGAAATATATGGTAACATTTTAAAATAAGGAGTACTTTCTTACTTGCCTTCCAACGCCCTGAAACTCCTGGACTCCAAAGGAGAGCAAAGTGAGTGTCCTATGCTTAATAATAAAGAGGAAAAAAAATAAAAAACCCTCTCCAACTAGTGGGGGCCATCTTACTTGCTTTTGATGCCTCTGAGGGAAAGGTGAGAAATTTGGCTGAATATAAAGGAATACAAGTGAAAGTTAGTATATGTTTTTGTAGATTTAAGAACTCCTAATTAACACAACGTGCCCATATGACATTTTGACAATGTAAGCGAGCATCTAGAAGCCTACGCCTCAGATACAGTTGTGATAACGAAATGTTTCCATGAGGACAGAGGCCTGGGGCACTGAACCTAACATAGATTCAGCAGCCGCTCATAAATACTGTGGTTGTCTGAATACTGGGTCCTTCCAAATCCTAATCATCCAACTCCTTGCTGTGCAATTTTCAGTCTCCCATTCGGTCTCAGATATGAGCCCCTTTGCCTCAGAAGTGTACACTCCCAAAGCCTTGCTCCTCAAAGGATCAGCCAGGGAACAACAGGTTTGGCATCTCCTGGGAGCTTGTTAGGAATACGGAATGTTGGACACACCTCAGACTGACTGAACAGAATCTGCAATTTAATAAATCCTCTTATGATTCATAGGCACATGAAGTTTCAAAGGCTCCCTCCAAAAGGACAGAGACCAAGTTGGCTATTTCCTTTTTAATGTCCTTATTACAGAGATAAGACTATACCACGTAAAGTGGTAGCTCTCAATGTGTTATTTTTAAATTAACTTCAATTCCCTAAAGTTCCTTATTAAGAAAGTACTGTGAAATATTTGTTAATACTCTCCTGAGAGATATATTTTTAGTAATGTCCAAAAGAGAGAGAGAAAGACAGAGAAACAGAGAAAAATGGCCTATGATTGAGAAGGAAGAAAATAATCAAGTTTTCAGTTTGGAAGTGTGAGATAAAAATATCTTTCATTTGAAAAGTGGAGGAAATTTGTGATGGTTTATTCTGTACATAGGCAGCACAGTGTGAAAGTTATTGAGCTAGATGAGTCTCGGACTTGGCCTGCAACCCTCCTTGGTTAAACTTGCTGTGGGTAGCTGGTTGACTTATTTAAATCCTGGCAATTTCAGTTTCATCCTCGAAAAAAATGAGGATAAAAAGAATGACAGTCTCATAAGGTTTTAGTAAGGGCTACCTTAAACATTTGTGCGGAGTGGTTAGCAATACCCTGCTCATAGTAAAAGTTTAATAAATGTCACTTTATTTTGTTATTTTAAATTTCTTAAAAACTTTCAAGAAAGAGGTTCAAAAAGCAGACCCCACATGAACCTGTAATTTCTTCCCTTACTGAATGCTGCAAACCTGGTCCCCTGTACAGAGCTGTTGCTGACTGACCGTTTTGGTTTTTTTCAAGCATTCTTATCTTTTTCTCATTTACTAGTTCCTAACCCCAGGAGTGTTTGTGGTGGTCTGTTGCTGATGGATCGGAGCTTCACAGACATTCCTCATTTCTCTAGTGCCAGCCATTGAGATCAGTGAACAACCAATACCACATGTCTGACAGAAAACGGGTCCAGTGCAACAAGTCTTAGCAGGTGAGGTAATGCGCAGACCTAACCAACTCATAATAGCTCCTGACATTTAGGTCCAAGAAGAGTAGGGCAAAGGCCTCATGTTGAATTTCTAACCAGATTCATGCAGCCTTGAAGCAAATATTTTTCTTACTGTGGTATCAGCCTTAATTATGCATTTACTACTGCTCCTTCTGAATACATGAATATATTTCAGGTCTGTGCTGAGAAAGAAATATGTTGCTAAAGAGCTATTTTTAAAAAAATTCTCGGTAGTAGATATATTTAAGAGTTCTTAATGAGTTCTTTTAATGAGTTGTTTTCAAATGCATTTTACCCAAGTTGATTCAAGATTTTGTTGGAGTGCCAGACTTACTTTCAACTTCTTTTATGGTTAAAAAAAAAAAAAAAACCCTTATTTTCAGGATAGTGTAATGTACTTTTGCCTTTCAACAACTGATCTTTATTTTCACTATAAGATTTATGAAAGGATATAATCAATTCAGAAAAAATAAAATCAGTTACATTACCTGCACCTTGAATGGTTCGAATGTATTAATGGGATGTGTTAGGCCATATACAACTTTCTCATTCTCTGCCTCAAATGTCCCTGGAAGATAAACATTGAAGGATATGATCTTTGACTTTTTGTGAGTTAAGGAGCTAAGTTACTATTTTTAAATTCATATACATTTTACTTACCAAAAATTCTATCCCATATAATAAGAACACCGGCATAATTTTTGTCTATGCAATAACGGTTTCTGCCTATAAAACAAAATATTTAAAAAGGGGCTTTTTTTAAAAATGAAATTATGCTTTTGAAACATCTTATTGTATTTTAAAACCCATGCACAAAATTAAGACTTAGCAACAAAATGATTTTCCTAGGAATCTCTTTTCACTGACATTAATTATTTGCTAGTTAACTGCTTTTATTGTATATTTTTGAGTTAATTTTACTAAAAAGAGCAAAGAATTCCTTAAAACTACATATATTTAGAATTACCCCAGAATTTAAAAAAAAATGTTTTTGCTCATAATTTTCCAGTTTTTTAGAAATCTGGGATAATTCTAAGTAATTTTACTTTAAGACTATCAAAGAGTAATAATTAAAAATTAAATGGCCCACAAAACAAAGGCAATAGAAAATAAGATAAGTAATATATGTATATTTGCATTTTTTTTTTTGAAATGAGTTATCTCTACCCCTTTTCTCTGCATCTTTTCCAGGAAGAAAATTTTCTACTTAAAGTGAGACTTTATTATTTTTTTTAAATCATAAAAGACATAAGTGAAAATTAAACTACCCTTGATTATTTTTATCAACACAAAACATATATTTTTCCTGCTCCAAAGTATTCAAATTATAATTTAAATGGAAATAGCTAGGCGTAGTTTCTTTAATAAAAAAAGTTGCATAAATAGATACACTATATTCACATGAGTGTAAATTAAAGGAAAAAGAATATTAACCTACCAAGCCATTGCTCCAACAAATTCAACTGTCTTTATGTGTCATTTCATTACATGCCTACTATACAAGTAAGTATATGTTTAAAAGTGAAGACATAAGAGACAATCTTCCCCAGTGCGAAAGTAGTGTGGGGCTGGCTACACACACAGACATACAACCCATTGCCATATGTGGGCTAAGCAGTGGTTCTCTGTTGGGCGGGGAGAACATTTTGCTTCTCAAGGGACATGTGGCAATGTCTGAAGACTGCTGAGAGTCACAACTGGGGGCAGATATTATTTGCATCTAGTATGTAGAGACCAACATCCTATAATAGGGTAGTCCTACCCCTAACCTCCCACCTCCGAATGAAGAACTGTTTGGCCTAAAACATTAATAATGCTGGGGCTGAGAAACCCAGATACAAAACAACATAAGTGGGAAGATACCCTAAAGTCAAACAGAGAACACTAGCAACTATTTATTCTTCAATGTGAACTTATTCTTCTCCACTCCTTATGTTTCCTTTTATGTGAAGGAACAGTCTATAACCCTTGGCCTTTCCAGCCCCTCACCAACAATCCCCTTGGGGTTGGGGAATGCCTATGGAGTTTGGATTTTTTTTTTTTTTTTTTTTTAGAGATGGGGGGGGGGGGGGGGGGGGGGGGGGGAGACCATGAGCAGGGGCGGGGAGGAGGAGAGGGAAAAAGAGAATCTTAAACAGGCCCCATGCCCAGTGAGGAGCCCATCATGGAGCTGATCTCATAACTCTGAGATCATGACCTGAGCCAAAATCAAGAGTCAGCTTAACCAACTGAGCCACTTAGGTGCTCCAGGAAATGCCTATGGAGTTTGGAAGAGGAAACTGAGCATCTGCAGCCTGACTCTGCCGTCTCCTGTTCCTTGACAGGGAAGGGCGTGGCTTATGCTTCCATCTGCTCCCTGCCAGGAGGAAAGGGACCTGCAGATTGGGAAGGCAGGCCTGCAGTATTCCAGCGCTGCCTCTGGTGCCTGGAAATTTGTAAAAGAAGTACAACAATATTTATTATTTTATTACTGTCTTCCTTCTCTCAACATTGTGTTTGTGAGATTTATTCAGGCCATCCCAAGTTGCAACAGTTTGGACATTTTTATTGCTATAAAATTCCCCATTACAGGCATAGTCTATAATTTCTCTGTTCTGCTGTGATAAACATTTGAATTTCATCTCTATTTTTTTTTCTATTACTAATAATGCTGTTATGCACATTCTTGTACAGGTCTTTTGGTGCACACATGTAAACATTTTTGTGAAGTCTTATGCTGTCTTTAAACCTTAGGCACTAGCCACATGGGGTTTTTTCTTTGTCAGGCTAATGCAGTTCCCAGAATTTAGGCAAGAAAGTGAACTGCTGTTTATTAGGCTTTCCTGAAATCCCAACAATTTTCAAGACCAGAGAGAGGCTTTCTGGCTGTGTATAGGAGTGACCCTCAGCATTGGGTCGGGAAGTGACCTTCAACTGACTCCTTCAATGTAGAAAGTATGCATCCCCTCAGGTGGTTAACTCGAATTCCCTCAGGTGGTTAACTCGTTTTCCATTACAACTAAGGAGATCGAGGCAAAAAGGAAAATCCAAGAAAGGTGTTTTTTTTTGTTTTGTTTTCTTCCCCCTCCAATCTTTGCTTTGGAAATGAGGCTTGTCCAGGTGCAGTGGAAGAAATGATACCTATTTATACAGTGAATGGTGACTATGCTGAATAATTGTGATAAAGATACAAAATAATACTGTTTCTAAAGAAATGAAGAAGGAAAAAAAGATCAAATTTCCTTACCGTGATGAACCCTATGATGGCTAGGAGTATTAATAATCAGTTCCAAAGGACCAAGGTTATTGATGACCTGTTTAAAACAAAAGCAATATTTATATTTATACACATAGGTATCAATAAATGTGTGTATATATTCACATTAAAAGCCCACATGGATTAAGAGATATTTCAAGTTTCAAGGTTGGCCTCAGAGTCAGAAGAAGTTTCTCTCCTTCCTGGTGTTCATATAAAAATAAAAATAAGCTGTGGGGCACCTGGGTGCCTCTGTCAGTTAGGTGTCGAACTCTTGATTTCGGCTCGGGTCGTGATCTCAGGGTTGTGAGATCGAGCCCAGCATTGGGCTCACACTGGGTGTGGAGGCTGCTTAAGATTCTCTCTCTCTCCCTCTGCCCTCTGCCCTTCCCCCTCCCTCTCCCACACATTGTGTGTGTGCAATCTTTCTCTCAAATAAATAACAGTAAGTTTTTAAATCTATACTGAGAGGCAGTATGGTAGTAGACAGTTTAAGAGTTAGGCTGCCTAAATTCAGTTCCTGGAACCTCCATTTATTACTATGTGATCTTGGGAAAACAATTTAAGCTTTTTATAATTCCATTTCCTCATGTTTAAAATGGAAATGTTAAAAAATATCTACATAATAATATTCTGAGTATTACAAACAGTATGGTAGTTATAGACTACCACATTCAAGGCACACTCAGGTCTCATGTCATTTCATGTTCTTCACCTTTCAGCTGTGTCTTTGTTGATTTATGGTAACTAGCACATAACTAGGGAAGGGAAAACATAGTATTACATTTGCTTTCTGGATAGTTGAGGGTTGGTATCACCCAATACTTAGCCATGTAGCAACAGCTGTTACCTCCTGCATTAGGGTGATTCTGCTTATTCACATATAATCCTGAATTTCTTTTACCTGTAGATGCACCATCTTTGAGTCCATTTTAGAGGCACAATTAAAAATGTTTACTTTAATTATGATCTAAATGGATTTGTTAGAGCTGGTCAGTGTAGTCTCCTCCACCCCCTTTTGTTGTCTGTTTTTGTATACTAATGTCATACTAATGACAAAATCAATACACTGTTATATTTTAAGAAATTATTCACCTCTAGAGCTAATTTCCATTTGAGGATATATGAAGAATAAAGGAGTAAGTTAAATGATGCTTAAGGAGAAAAAACATCCCCTGACAATCATGACACACTGACATGAATTGGCAACAGGTCAGTGGTACAGGGAAAAAAATAGATAGGACTGCTCAAGATAAAAAGATATTTAAGTTACATAACAGCCAAATGGAGTGATCTTATTTTTAATACTGGTTTGAACAAACCAAACAAAATAGACATTTTATAGGCAATGAGGGTTAAGACAATGATTATATACAGGGTTATTACATGATAAAAAATACTGTTTTTATTGAAAATTATGTTGGAATTGTCATTGTGTAGGAAGATATAATTTTTTTTTTAGAGTTGTATAACTGAAGTATACATGACATGAGATCTATGTTTTGCTAAAAGATACTTGGCAATGCATTAAGAAAATGAATCAAAATCACAATGATTTTTTAATTGAAATGATGGATATACATAAGTGTATTCTATTATTTTCTCTACTTTTCTGAATGTTTGAATAATTTTAAGATAAAATTTTACATAAAAGCAACTACTACTCTAGTAATACACAATAATGCAGAGTCAGCCAGTTGAAAAATATTAATAGATCTCCTCTAAAGTCTCAAACAAATTTCTAGATTGCAACTCTTTATATAGCGGGGTTTAATCATGTTTTGGCAATCTCTGACAGACATTAAAACACCCAGTTAAAAATTGCTCTGCAAATCTGAACAGCTGCAGTAGTCACACTGTCCCCAGCTTGTGGGGTCCTGTACCCTCTTGAGGTAGAAGCTGCAGCAATGTTGCCACATGGCGGTCCTACAGCTCTCCAGAGGGCAGGTGCCACCACCATCTCCTTATTGAACCCACTGTTTACACACTTGAAAGAAGCAGTCCTTGCCTTCCATGCTGCTGCCAAGCTTCTAAAGGAATTACAGTTTCTGTTACGGAACAGACAGAAATGTTGCATGCAAATGATGTGTAATATTTTGTGTCCTATATTGATTTAGACTCCCTCCCTCCCTCCCTTCATTCTTCTTTGTCTCCTTCCCCACCCCCTCTTCTATCTTGGAGTTTTATCACCATTTTAAAATTATTTCCATGAGAAATATACTATGAGCTCCAAACAACAGACTTTTTGGTTAACTCATAGAACAGAATTCCATTTATACCCAAAGAACTATCTGTATTTTTTTTAATTTAGGAGTTCAAAATACTGTGAATATGTAGCACTTACATCAGACTACATTCCTATCAAATAAGCCACAAAAGGTATTATCCCACAAATAGAAGTACTAATGACCAGGGATTGGGATGGGAATAAGTAGAAATAGCCCTGTATTTTATTGGACTCCATTGCTTTGTACTTGGTGGAAAAATATTTGTTAAGAAGAATGGTGATGGATAGAGAACAAGAAAGTGGGGTTTCTCAGCAGTCAGAACATTGAAATCTGATGCTGTGTTCGGGCTTTGTATCTCTGGCAGAGAACCAGATGGAAAAGGAGAAAACCATTTTATCCTTGTTTGTCTCTTTGGTGCCTAACATATGTTACAAAAACAGACAACAAAAGGGGGTGGAGGAGACTACACTGACCAGCTTCTGCTACCCAGATGCATTTCTGATCTTTGGTCCTGGCATGTGTGCAGCCGGATTTAAAGCCACAAAAATGAATCAAAATGAGTGCATTCAGATGATTGGAGCCTTGGCTGAGTGCATTATTATTATTATTTTTTAATGTCAAGCATTTTTCCTCAAAGAAAATCTGCTCCTACAGGCTAAAGCACGGTGATATCAATATTGAAAGTACCTTTTTTTTTTTTTAAAGTTAAAAGCCAAGTACAACACAGGCAACCACAGTCAATTTCCTGGTAGTGCCTATGAGGACCTTGGAGCTGAGGAAGACCACCTCGGTGTGGGAGATGATTCATCATTCAGACAACCCAGTCAGAACCTCTTTTGGAGAAAACTCTTCTAACTCAAAATCATGGAGAAGTCATCAATAATTAATATGGGTTGAGCATAATGACTTAATTATCGCCCACTTTTGCAAATTCAGTCATTTAGCAATTCAACCACATCTAGCTTTGAATAACTTCCTGAAAATATGTTACTGTGGAAATTACTGCAGCTTTTCTCATTTTTAGAGTTATTTTTTCCTGTCTTATTTTTTAAGATTTAGATGAGTTAATTTAAATGATGAAATTTTATAACCTATAGAGGACTTAAAAATCATATAGTCCCATACTCTGTTATTTTTAAAAAAGCATTAAAACCGTAGCTCAGAGAAGTTAAATTATTAGTCCAAGTACAAACAGCTTGGAAGAAGCACTAGAGTCTTCTTGATTTCAACTGAAGATTCTTTCTATTTTTCTATTATATTGCTTCTAAGAGATACAGAAATATCTCCATCAAATAAAAGTAATTTAAACTTTTAGAAGTTTCATGGACAATAACTAAATGCCTTTTTTTCTTTAAGATTTTATTTATTTATTTGACAGAGAGAGAGATAGAGAGAGCAGGAACACAAGCAGGGGGAGTTGGAGAGGGAGAAGCAGGCTTCCCGCCAAGTAGGGAGCCTGATGGGGGCTCGATCCCAGGACCCTGGGATCATGACCTGAGCCAAAGGCAGATGCTTAACGACTGAGCCACCCAGGCACCCAACTAAATGCTTTTTTACTACATTCCAGTCAAAAGAAATCCAAGTATTTATAAAGAACCTGGACACTTCAGATTCTAAACTGCCCCCTCATGGGATTTTAGGAACTTCTGGTGTTTCTTAGGTCCCCAAACCAATGGTCTGTCTTGTAAACTGTCATTTTCTGTCAGGGTTTTAGAACCTGAGAACACGGATGCCTAGAAAGGCCATGAATGGTCTTCAGAAAGTCAAGAACACCCTTAAGGGTTATGCCAAATTTTATGAATATGTACTGCTGGGTATTTTTCTGGGAGGAAACTACTGTTTTCATCATATACTCAAAGGAGTAGATGAGTCCTCAGAGGTTAAGAACCAGTGTTTCAAACAAAAGTCTTTATATTATTTCTTCTCCCTTTTTATTTAAATTGTGTTTTCAGTTTCCATACTATTAATATTTGGATGCTAATTTCTCAGCCTAACTTCAGAAACTATTAATATAAACATTTTTTTGCCTATTTCTTGAAATCATTGTTTTCCAAAAGGATCATTTCTTGAGCTGTTTTTATATGTATAATAATAAATTATTATGAAAGTAACAATTGTATAATAATAAGCTTCATCCATTCTATTGATTAAATTTTATCCAGCAGAAGTGCTCTAGATCTTTTGCTGTACTGGTCACAAACTCATTCTCTCCCCACAGTTTATGGCAGGGGTGGGGAAAACAGTTAAATATAAAAGCAAGAGAACAGGACCCATAAGACACTGTTAGCTTCTCATCATGTCATTGTCCTCAACAAAAATAAAGTGACCTCAAATGAAAGCCTCCTCATAATGAACTAAATGAAGCCCAAAACATGTCGAATTCAAAGTCGTTCAAACTCTTCCTCAAGACAAATTTCCAATGTTCTCTTTCTTCTGCCTCAAAGACCTTAATCTCCCAACTCGATCTGTTGGAATCCTGCTGTTCCTTCAAGTCCTACCTAAATTTTGAAACACTCTTCTTGATTTTTCTAATGAGAATTTGTTTGCCTTTTTCTGAATATGTATTGAGACATCACTAATTTTTATGTCATGCTACTCTGATTTCTAGTTATTTGTATTCACTTTCTATACAATGTTGAAAGTTCAACGAGGACAGAAATGGCACCTTACTCCTCTTCAAGGTTCTCACAGTACATGCAACATCGACTTACATATAGTGACTGCCCAACAAGATTATATTGAGCAGATAAATCCACCTCACAGCCCTCCCCACCCTTCTGACTTTACAGTAGTGGTTCTCAAATGGGAATGACTGTGCTCCCAGTCTTTT